GAGCCATGGCCGCTGAGCCTGCGCGTCCGGAGCCTGTGCTCCGCAACGGGAGAGGCCACAACAGTGAGAGGCCCGCGTACCACAAAAAAAACAAAAAAACAAAAAACTTCTTAGCAGATGGTAAGATATGAAGACAGAATAGTGTGAGTGTGGTATGGGCATGTGGGGAGAGCTGGCTTTCTGTGTGAACATGAGCCTAGTTCTCACCTTCCAGGGTGAGAGGTCAGTAGATAATGTTAAAACAGAAAAAACAAGAAGTAGCAATATAAACATGATATTTAGTGATATAGAGATCAATACCCAAAGAAGTTAAAAGAGGTGAAATGAGTGCTTCTGGGAATAGGAAATAGTGCCACATGGGTACTATTTCTCACATAGTAGTTTGAATATTTTTGTTTCTTTTTTTCCCCTGGGTTTGTAGTTGTTTTTATATTTTCTCAGTTTTATTGATATATAACTGACATACAGTACTGTATAAGTTTAAGGTGTATAGCATAATGATTTGACTTACATACATCATGAAATTATCACAATAGGTTTAGTGAATATCCATCATCTCATATTGACACAAAATTAAAGAAACGGAAAAAAGTTTTCCCTGTGTCCTACATTATATCTCTAATATTTACTTATAACTGGAAGTCTGAACCTTTCGACTACCTTCATCTAACTTCCTCTCCTTCCACCCACCCCCCAACCTCTGGTAGCAACAAATCTGATCTCTTTTTCTATGAGTTTGCTTGTTTGTTTGTTTGTTTTTGAAGTATAACTGACCTACAACACTCAGTTTCAGGTACACAACATAGTGATTCAGTATTCTGTGCATTTCAAAATAATTACCATGCTAAGCCTAGTTATGATATGTCACCGTACAAAGATATTACATAGTTATTGACTGTATTCCTCACTGTACATTTCATACCTGTGTGTATTTTGCAACTGCAAGTTTGTATCTCTTAATCTCCCTCACTCATTTCTTTCCTCCCTCCACCCCTCTCCCCTCTGGCAACTACCTGATTGATCTCTGTACCTGTAACTCTGTTTCTGTTTTGTTATGTTTGTTAATTTGTTTTGGTTTTTAGATTCCACCTATAAGTGAAATATGGTATTTGTCTTTCTCTGTCTGCTTATTTCATTTAGCATAATACTCTCTAGGTCCATCCATGTTGTTGCAAATGGCAAGATTTCATTCTTTTTTATGGCTAATATTCCACTGAATATATACACCACATCTTCTTTATCCATTCATCCACTGATGGGAACTTAGGTTGCTTCCATATCTTGGCTATTGTAAATAAGGCTGAAATGAACATGGGAGTGCAGGTATTTTTTCTGATTAGTGTTTTTGTTTTCTTTGGATAAATACCCAGGAGTGGAGTTGCTGGATAATATGTAGTTCTATTTTTAATTTTTTGAGGAATCTCCATACTGTTTTCCATAATGACTGCACCAATTTACATTCCCACCACCAGTGCATGAGGGTTCCCTTTTCTCCACATCCTTGCCAGCACTTGTCATTTGTTGTCTTTTTGATAATAGCCATTTTGAAAGGTGTGAGGTGATATCTCAGGGTGTTTTGGTTTGTACCCTGATGATTAGTGATGTTGAGCCACTTTTCACATGCCTGCTGGCTATCTGTATGTCTTCTTTGGAAAAATGTTTATTTAGATCCTCTGCCCATTTTTTAATTGATTTTTTTTAATGTGGAGTTGAATGAGTTCTTTGTATACTTTGCATACTAACTCCTTATCAGATATATAGTTTGCAAATATTTATCCTGTTCAGTAGGCAGCCTTTTCATTTTGTTGATAGTTTCCTTTGCTGTGCAAAAGTTTTTTAAGTTGGTTGCAGTTACATTTGTTTATTTTTGCTTTTTCCCCACTTTTCTGAGGAGACGTATCCAAAAAACCATTACTAAGACCAATGTCAAAGAGTATACTGCCTTCGCTTCCTTCTGGAATTTTTATGGTTTCAGGTCCTACATTTAAATATTTAATCCATTTTGAACTTATTTTTGTTCGTGGTATGAGAAAGTAGTCCAGCTTTGATTCTTTTGCATGTAGCTGTCCAGTTCTCTGAATACCATTTTTTGAAGTGGCTGTCTTTACTGCATTATATATTCTTGCCTCCTTTGTAGTAGGTTAACTGCTCATATAAGTGTGGCTTCATTCCTGGGCTCTCTATTCAGTTCCATTGATCTATGTTTCTATTTTGGTGCCAGTACCATACTCTTTTGATTACTGTAACCTTGTAGTATAGTTTGAAATCAGGCGGCATGATACCTCCAGCTTTGTTCTTCTTTCTCAAGATTATTTTGGCTATTTGGAGTCCCTTGTATTTCCATACAGATTTTAAAATTATATGTTCTAGTTCTGTGAAAAAAACATTTGTAATTTGATAGGGATTGCACTGAATCTGTAGATTACCTTGGGTAGTATGGTCATTTTAGCAATATTAATTCTTCAAATTCATGAGCACAATATATCTTTCCATCTTTGCTGATGCCTTCAATTTCTTTCACCAGTGTCTTATGGTTTTCCAAGTACAGGTTTTTTACCTCCTTAGTTAGATTTATTTTTAGGTATTTTATTATTTTGATGCAATTGTAAATGGAATCTTATCTTAATTTCTTTTTCTGATAGTTCATTGATAATGTATAGAAATGCAACAGATTTCTGTATAGTAATTTTGTATCCTGCAACTTTATCAGATTCATTGATGAGCTCTAGTAGTTTTTTGGTGGTATCTTTAGGATTTTCTACATATAGTATCATGCATCTTCAAACAGTGACAGTTCTACTTCTTCTTTTTCAATTTGGATATATTTTATTTATTTTCCTTGACGGATTGCTGTGGCTAGGACTTCCAATACTATGTTGAATAAAAGTGGTGAGAGTGGGCATCATTCTCTTGTTCCTGAACTTAGAGGTAGTTTGAGTGTTTTATATAACACTTTTTGTAGAATTATAGACTTTTTAAACTATGCGACTATGTATTTTGATTAAAAAAATGCATATTTTGAAAAAGTCACCTAGATCATACCACTGGCTTCAAGGAGATTAAAAAAAAAATAAACCCATTTCTTATATCTTGCCATGGCATGCTTCTTACATTGGGAAGCTTAATTGTCATGGAAGTTGTCATCAGATATTAGAGCTAAAAAATTTTCGAGCTAGATCTTCTAATTGAACAGTGTAATTTTACAGAGAAGAAAACACATTGAGAGAGGAGAAATGACTCACCCAAAGTCACACAGTACGTTCCAGATTTAGGGTCTAGGGTTCCTGACTCCTGACCCAGTGTTCATTCCGGTTAACTGCAGTGCCTCTTGATCATTTGTATACACTTCATTGCCCTGTTCAACTCAGAGTATTAGGGGGCTGTTTGAAACCCCATGAAATATATAACATTGCTCTCTATTGGATGCTGGCAGGAAGGAAGGGCTCTGAAGAAGTCACACCAGCCACTGAAAGCCAGATCTTATTGGGAAGTCCTCTATCAATGGTGGGAATACCATGAGACATATACTGTATAAGTCTTGCTATAGTGTAGTTTCAGTAATAAATAATAATGGCTTTGTCAGTAAGGACTGCATTGTAAGAGAAGGATTTGTGCATAGTATGGTGAAGATGACGGGTCAGCTACCACTAGGTGGGCAGATTAATTGCAGTTTAATGGCCGTTGAAGATCAATTGCCTTTTCTGACCTCTGGGTTCCTCCTGAGGGTCATAGTTCCATGGAACACAGCTGTTGGGGTGAATATAGTCCTAAGCAGAGTTTCTGATACCAAGGGAGGGGCTTGCTTGACTGGCAGGACGTGATGTATTCTGAGACCCACCTTCATGTTAAAAATACTATGATTAAAAGCAGTATAGGGCTTCCCTGGTGGTGCAGTGGTTGGGAGTCCGCCTGCTGATGCAGGGGACACGGGTTTGTGCCCCGGTCCGGGAAGATCCCATGTGCCGCGGAGCGACTGGGCCCGTGAGCCATGGCCACTGAGCCTGCGCGTCCGGAGCCTTGCTCCGCAACGGGAGAGGCCGCAGCAGTGAGAGGCCCGCGTACCGCAAAAACAAACAAACAAACAAAACAGTATAAACCTCCAAAAGGTGTAATAGTTTAATGAAGTGATAACATTAATAAAGAAGAGCCAGCTTTTGAAATATCAAAGTATAAAAATGATGCTGTCCTGAAATATTAAATGTTTATAAGCATCAGAATTTCATCCTATAACAAATACTTTCTCAAGGTTTTTCCAAAAAAGAACTTTTCATTGGAATAACGATCCATAAAACTTTTTTCATCATATCATAGATAGGGTGACCAATTTTACCTATAATATTTAACTATGATTTATATAGCTTTGAAACATTCTAATGCTGTTATGGTTCAAGCTTCATGTCTTTGAAAAATGCTTTGAAACTGACTTCCACAGTTGGACTCTTTCAAAATGTAGGTCTGATTTTTAAACTTATATTTCAAAATCATAGTTTGTCTCTTTCAAAATCTAGTTCTGGTAGTAAGTTAGATTTATGAGTTATTTAATGCAAAAAGTGGATTTATGCAAAAATTGTAGATGCCTCCCACACTTTTGTCCTTGACTATAAAGAATGGAAGAGAGGAAACTGAGGGAAAAGTAAGATGATCTACAGATCAAATGACTATTTATGTGCAACAACTGGATTGATAACAGTAAAACAGAACAAGAGCTAGAAGACATAGCTCTATAAACTAGTGGGGTTTTTAAAAATAAAGGATTACTCTGCAATGATATTTTTAAGAAATGTGCAAAATTTATTTTCAGATCTCATCACATATCTTTTAGTTCACATCAAATCTGTAAAGCTCATCAATCTGGCAACTTTTCAGATCAACATAAATCAGTCTCAGAAAGTAAATAATTATTGAGTTTAAAGCAGAAAGAGTTTTCAGCTTGTTGCTGTTACTTTGATAATGCATCTAACTATCTGTATATGTCTTCCTTTACTTTCCTTGCTGCACAGGTTTGCCATCAGCAAATTTGGCTGCACCTAACCTCACTGTGGAGGAGGGAAAGTCTATCACATTAACTTGTAGTGTTGCAGGCGATCCAGTTCCGAATTTGTACTGGGATGTTGGTAATCTGGTTTCCAAGCATATGGTAAGGCTTGTGTTTGACTGTGCGTTCATAGAGATGAGAGTGTCTCAGAACTTGAGATTGTATTAACCTAGTGAAAATCACTTAATAGAGAGATTTACAATGAGTTTTTGCTGTGCATTTACTTTCTATCTATTCTTATTTAACAAAGACTAATGCAGGTTGCATTTTAGTTATTTATACCCCATAGATTGGAAAGTCTGTAGGTCTCTAGTAAGCTTTTTATGTCACTGTGAGCAAGGTGAGTGACTCTCCTTGTGGTCTTTTCCCTCGGAGGAAAGTAGGTAGGAATTCAAGGATTAAATCAACTTTCACACATTAAATAATTGAAATCTAGAGAAATAGAATAGCTTCTGATTAACTCCTTTGCCTAAGCCCGATTAGGCTAGAAACTTTTCTCTAATGTTATAGGTGATTTTCTGCAGTTAGGGGAAGAAACCCCAAATCTTGTTACTTTGGGTTCTGTCCTAACCAAGATTATGTTTGTCTGTTAATTCATTTGTAGAATGAAACAAGCCACACACAGGGCTCCTTAAGGATAACTAACATTTCATCTGATGACAGTGGAAAGCAAATCTCTTGTGTGGCAGAAAATCTTGTAGGAGAAGATCAAGATTCTGTCAACCTCACTGTACATTGTACGTAATCAGATCGGCATGTGTTTTTAATAGCAGATGATTGTGGCTACACCTACATTTGTGGTTGGGGCACTCTGGGTGCTGCTTCAGTGCATTAAAAAAGTATATGCAGTGTTTTGTGTATCCTTAATTAAGAAATATTATCAACCCCTTTCACTTGTCCTATTTCTTCTAATCTCTCTTGTTCACACGTTATCTTTAAGCTTCTTTTCCGATTTTAAGTGTGTCCTCTTGTGCCTTCCCCTGTCTTGTCTTGATAGAACGTATTTTGAGCTGGTTATCCTCTTTTTGTTAATAAGTTGTAGTTTAAATTCTGATAAACCAGTTTCTAAATTTTTTTTCTCCGTAAAAACAATATGAACCTTTAAAGTTGTGATACCTAAAGTACTGAGCTGGCTGTTCACAAACACCTAATTATACTGTTGATACAAAAAAAAAAAATTACCCCATTTATTTGACATCAAGCTTCTGTGGGGAATTGGAGGAGTCCTACTTAAATGACTGAAAATTATTATCACCTGCAAAAAATCTTTTATAACTGTTTTAAATTTCTCTCTACTGAAGACATACGATATTAAAGTTTCTTAAGCATATGTGCATTATTTTCCAGTATCATAAGCAACACAACATATAACTTAACATTCCAGATGTTGCATTCAGTGTGAACGGTGTATGTATTCAGTAAAAAATACATAATCTTCACATGAGTGGAAATTCTGAGCTGCCATGGTATAAAGTAACGAGGTTTTACTCTGTTTGGATTAGGATTTGGATGAGAAAAACACGAGTGTGCATGTGTGTAAGTATGAATATGCATTACACACATGTAGGCACAAGGTGGTTGACATTCACTTATAACACACATTCCGTATGTGATTGTTGGAGTGAATGATTGAAATCACCAACCTTTTGTCACTGTCAATACTACCCCGACGCCCAGAAGGTCCTGGACTCATAATTTCTCATCATTTTGACCCACATGGAAGCTTGAAGTCAATGTCATCCCCAAACACATGCACCCAGTTTCCAACTTTATGTCCTTAAGTCAACACCTCACATAAAGCTAATTTGAGCGTGGTGACAGGAAAAAGTGAGGCCTAGGCATGGGCACCTGGGCTGGTAGGAGGAAGGTAAGTATTGTCCCTGCCCCATCATGGTCCTTGTGTTTGTGACACAGACCTATAAGTAAGGGCACTCCAATTCAAATTTTTCTCAGTTTAGGTTAATATCTATGTAGTCTCCATGGTCTTGAGAATTGGCCTTGTCTATCAAAGTTTAGATAACAAGTAGAAGGAATAAGTGATAAAGAATATTAGCAACTGAGACATCCTTTGCAGTGATCCCACTCAGAGTGTATTTGTTAGCAGGCTATGATTTCCCCCGCTTTGTGTGATGAACATATACAACCAGGAAGCAGTGCATGAGGGGAAGGGCTACTGGATTAGGTATTAGGAGATCTGGATTCCTGTTCCAGATCTTCCTCACTCAGTAACCTTGACCAAGTCACTTAACCTTATTGCACTTGGGTTTCTTCATCTGAAAAATGATGCTATTAGGTCTCAAAGGTCTCTTCCAGTCCTTGATTTTATAATTATCAAAGTCAGATCACATAAAAATAAACAATTATGAGGGATTTTAAATAGCTTCACTCAGGATAAGTACTCTGTTTAAAGATGCTACTTGATAATGTTTGTTTCCCCTAAGAATAAAGTGCTTTATACTTCAGGTTAAAATAATCTTTAGTTTGTTTGTTCAGGTTTAGATAGGACCTCAGACATTTAAAGGATCAAAACTTTGATATCTCCAATTCCAGCAAAAATGGGTGTACTGTAATGAAAAGTAGTGCTTTTAAAGAGAGTTTCCTATTGACCATCGGTGAAAAATACCATCAGTTTATCAGACTTTATAATAGTCAATCAACATCGATAGCAACATTCATTGCATCGACCAGTTTTACTTGTTTTAGAAAAGTTATGCAAGATCAGGGCTTCAGGCAAGATTTGCAAAGTCAGTTTTGTCGTTATTTGTATTATTTAGTGAAGTCCTGTAAAAATAGTAGTCCTCAATGTTTTGGTGATTAATCTCCCTAGCATCAAAGGCATATATATTAGAAACCAAAGTCAACTTCAAATGAACGCTTTCCACTGTCAGAAATCTCAGGGATCTGTTTGGAGTTGGTTCTCACACTGAATAGATGTGAAAATGACTACAATGCATGGGCTTTAAGCAGAGCAGGGAAAGGAGTCTCTCTGAAGCTCTCTGTAGAAGTTAAATCAACCTTGATGATGATACAAAATATTGATGGATTCCAGAGTTGTGGGTCATGTGTTTTCTTAAACCAAACAATGGTTGAATAAAAATCCCCTATTGATGACACAGAGATCTGGAGATGGGGAGAATTCTGAGCTTTCTGATGCTATTAACTCTCTCTTTTTCAATTTAGTTGCTCCAACTATCACATTTCTCGAATCTCCAACCTCAGACCACCACTGGTGCATTCCATTCACTGTGAAAGGCAACCCCAAACCAGCGCTTCAGTGGTTCTATAATGGGGCAATTTTGAATGAATCCAAATACATCTGTACTAAAATCCATGTTACCAATCACACGGAGTACCACGGCTGCCTCCAGCTGGATAATCCCACTCACATGAATAATGGGGACTACAAGTTAGTAGCCAAGAATGAGTATGGGAAGGATGAGAAACAGATTTCTGCTCACTTCATGGGCTGGCCTGGAATCGATGATGGTGAGTACCTGTTTTTGCATCTGGGGAGAAGATAGGGTATATCACTCAATTACTGACAACATCATGCCAAAGCCAAGTCCAGGGGCAAGGATTCATACTCTTTCCATGGAGGTGATGGGGATGAATAACTTTGAACAATATTCTGATAAACACACATTATTTTTCTCTCGAGTGTTACATGAGATTTTGTATCCACAATGGCAAAACCCAAACAAATCTGTGAGTGGGTGAACTGTATTGGGTTGGCTCATGAACTATTTAAGATATATTTTCTAGTCCCTTATCCATTTGGGACTCAGAATCCTGCTGTCTCATCCATGGATGAGAAACTAGTGTTGTGGAATGTTTTGCTTACCTGGGCTGACTGCGTTGTGGCATCCTTTGATGGGATCCTGAATTGTTTTTCTAGGAGTGGTAAAAGTTCCAATCTGACCAATGGTTTGGGTTGGGAAAAGGATGGCTGGCATCAGGAGTCCGGTACATGGTCAGCAGAAGAATTTCAGTGGGAGCCTCAGTAAAAGCAGGGATGATGTCATGCATTTACCTGCTCCAGTTACTCTTGCTCAGTGAAGTATTCTTACTTGATTGATTGTGTTGCCCAAATAGCTGGTACTATTGTAGAGACTGAGCCCTCTGGATACTGGGACCTGTACATGATTAGAATTCCTCACCATAATAGTCCCGAGTTAATCAAAGCCACACAACAACAGCCTTGCAGAGGGGTAGGGAAAACAGAAACTTGGAGGCCCATGGGGTAGGGGCTGCTTGGGCAGCATGTACTAGTGTGGCTCGCAGGGCAGCCACATGGACAAAGGTGATGGCTGCAAGCCACCTTCACCAAACGAGAATGCAATAATTCTCATTACACAATATATCTTCCTGTTATCCTGGTATTTATTTAACAGCATTTTAATTAATTAATTATTTTGATTTTAAACTCTTTATTTTTTTACATCTCTATTGGAGTATAATTGCTTTACAATGGTGTGTTAGTTTCTGCTTTATAACAAAGTGAATCAGTTATACATATACATATGTTCCCATATCTCTTCCCTCTTGCGTCTCCCTCCCTCCCACCCTCCCTATCCCACCCCTCTAGGTGGTCACAAAGCACCGAGTTGATCTCCCTATGCTATGCGGCTGCTTCCCACTAGCTATCTATTTTACGTTTGGTAGTGTATATATGTCCATGCCACTCTCTCAATTTGTTGCAGCTTACCCTTCCCCCTCCCCATATCCTCAAGTCCATTCTCTAGTAGGTCTGTGTCTTTATTCCTGTCTTACTCCTAGGTTCTTCATGACATTTTTTTTTCTTAGATTCCATATATGTGTTAGCATACGATATTTGTCTTTCTCTTTCTGACTTACTTCACTGTGTATGACAGACTCTAGGTCCTTCCACCTCACTAGCAATAACTCAATTTCGTTTGTTTTTATGGCTGAGTAATATTCCATTGTATATATGTGCCACATCTTCTTTATCCATTCATCCAATGAAGGACACTTAGGTTGTTTCCATCTCCTGGCTATTGTAAATAAAGGTGCGATGAATATTTTGGTACATGACTCTTTCTGAATTACGGTTTTCTCAGGGTATATGCCCTGTAGTGGGGTTGCTGGGTCATATGGTAGTTCTATTTGTAGTTTTTTAAGGCACCTCCATACTGTTCTCCATAGTGGCTGTACCAATTCACATTCCCACCAGCAGTGCAAGAGTGTTCCCTTTTCTCCACACCCTCTCCAGCATTTATTGTTTCTAGATTTTTTGATGATAGCCATTCTGACTGGTGTGAGATGATATCTCATTGTAGTTTTGATTTTCATTTCTCTAATGATTAATGATGTTGAGCATTCTTTCATGTGTTTGTTGGCACTCTGTATATCTTCTTTGGAGAAATGTCTATATAGATCTTCTGCCCATTTTTGGATTGGGTTGTTTGTTTTTATGTTTGAGCTGCATGAGCTGCTTGTAAATTTTGGAGATTAATCCTTTGTCAGTTGCTTCATTTGCAAATATTTTCTCCCATTCTGAGGGTTGTGTTTTGGTCTTGTTTATGGTTTCCTTTGCTGTGCAAAAGCTTTGAAGTTTCATTAGGTCCCATTTGTTTATTTTTGTTTTTATTTCCATTTCTCTAGGAGGTGGGTCAAAAAGGATATTGCTGTGATTTATGTCATAGAGTGTTCTGCCTATGTTTTCCTCTAAAAGTTTGATAGTTTCTGGTCTTACATTTAGGTCTTTAATCCATTTTGAGCTTATTTTTGTGTATGGTGTTAGGGAGTGTTCTAATCTCATACTTTTACATGTACCTGTCTGGTTTTCCCAGCACCACTTATTGAAGAGGCTGTCCTTTCTCCACTGTACATTCCTGCCTCCTTTATCAAAGATAAGGTGACCATATGTGTGTGGGTTTATCTCTGGGCTTTCTATCCTGTTCCATTGATCTATATTTCTGTTTTTGTGTCAGTACAATACTGTCTTGATTACTGTAGCTTTGTAGTATAGTCTGAAGTCAGGGAGCCTGATTCCTCCAGCTCTGTTTTTCTTTCTCTAGATTGCTTTGGCTATTAGGGGTCTTCTGTGGTTCCATACAAATTGTGAAATATTTTGTTCTAGTTCTGTGAAAAATGCCAGTGGTAGTTTGATAGGGTTTGCATTGAATCTGTAGATTGCTTCGGGTAGTAGAGTCATTTTCACAATGTTGATTCTTCCAATCCAAGAACATGGTATATCTCTCCATCTATTTGTATCATCTTTAATTTCTTTCATCAGTGTCTTATAATTTTCTGCATACAGGTCTTTTGTCTCCTTAGGTAGGTTTATTCCTAGATATTTTATTCTTTTTGTTGCAATGGTAAATTGGGAGTGTTTTCTTGATTTCACTTTCAGATTTTTCATCATTAGTGTATACGAATGCCAGATTTTCTGTGCATTAATTTTGTATCCTGCTACTTTACCAAATTCATTGATTAGCTCTAGCAGTTTTCTGGTAGCATCTTTAGGATTCTCTATGGTTAGTATCATGTCATCTGCAAACAGTGACAGCTTTACTTCTTCTTTTCCGATTTGGATTCCTTTTATTTCCTTTTCTTCTCTGATTGCTGTGGCTAAAACTTCCAAAACTATGTTGAATAAGAGTGGTGAGAGTGGGCAACCTTGTCTTGTTCCTGATCTAAGTGGAAGTGCTTTCCGTTTTTCACCATTGAGGACGATGTTGGCTGTGGGTTTGTCATATATGGCCTTTTTATGTTGAGGAAAGTTCCCTCTATGCCTACATTCTGGAGGGTTTTTAATCATAAATGGGTGTTGAATTTTGTTGAAAGCTTTCTCTGCATCTATTGACATGACCATGTGGTTTTTCTCCTTCAATTTGTTAATATGGTTTATCACATTGATTGATTTGCGTATATTGAAGAATCCTTGCATTCCTGGAATAAACCCCACTTGATCATGGTGTATGATCCTCTTAATGTGCTGTTGGATTCTGTTTGCTAGTATTTTGTTGAGGATTTTTGCATCTATGTTTATCAGTGATATTGGCCTGTAGTTTTACTTCTTTGTGACATCCTTGTCTTGTTTTGGTATCAGGGTGATGGTGGCCTCGTAGAATGAGTTTGGAAGTGTTCCTCCCTCTGCTATATTTTGGAAGAGTTTGAGAAGGATAGGTGTTAACTCTTCTCTAAATGTTTGATAGAATTTGCCTGTGAAGCCATCTGGTCCTGGGCTTTTGTTTGTTGGAAGATTTTTAATCACAGTTTCAATTTCAGTGCTTGTGATTGGTCTGTTCATATTTTCAATTTCTTCCTGATTCAGTCTTGGCAGGTTGTGCATTTCTAAGAATTTGTCCATTTCTTCCAGGTTGTCCATTTTATTGGCATGGAGTTGCTTGTAGTAATCGCTCATGATTATTTTTTTCTTTTTTTTTTTTTTTGGTACGCGGGCTTCTCACTGTTGTGGCCTCTCCCGTTGTGGAGCACAGGCTCTGGACGTGCAGGCTCAGCAGCCATGGTTTATGGGCCCAGCTGCTCCACGGCACTTGGGATCTTCCCGGACCAGGGCACAAACCCGTGTCCCCTCCATCGGCAGGCGGACTCTCAACCAATGTGCCACCAGGGAAGCCCTCTCATGATCTTTTGTATTTCTACAGTGTCAGTTGTTACTTATCCTTTTTCATTTCTAATCTATTGATTTGAGTCTTCTCCCTTTTTTTCCTGATAAGTCTGGCTAGTGGTTTATCAATTTTGTTTATCTTCTCAAAGAACCAGCTTTTCGTTTTATTGATCTTTGCTATCATTTCCTTCATTTCTTTTTCATTTATTTCTGATCTGATCTTTATGATTTCTTTCCTTCTGCTAACTTTGGGATTTTTTTGTTCTTCTTTCTCTAATTGCTCTAAGTGCAAATTTAGGTTGTTTATTTGAGATGTTTCCTGTTTCTTAAGGTAGGATTGTATTACTATAAACTTCCCTCTTAGAACTGCTTTTGCTGTATCCCATAGATTTTGGGTCATCGTGTCTCCATTGTCATTTGTTTCTAGGTATTTTTTAATTTCCTCTTTGATTTCTTCAGTGATCACTTCGTTATTAAGTAGTGTATTGTTTAGCCTCCATGTGTTTGTATATTTTACAGATTTTTTCCTGTAATTGATATCTAGTCTCATAGTGTTGTGGTCGGAAATGGTACTTGATACAATTTCAGTTTTCTTAAATTTACCAAGGCTTGATTTGTGACCCAAGATATGATCTATCCTGGAGAATGTTCCATGAGCACTTGAGAAAAATGTGTATTCTGTTGGTTTTGGATGGAATGTCCAATAAATATCAATTAAATCCATCTTGTTTAATGTATCTTTTAAAGCTTGTGTTTCTTTATTTATTTTCATTTTAGATTATCTGTCCATTGGTGAAAGTGGGTGTTAAAGTCTCCTACTATGAATGTGTTACTGTCGATTTCCCCTTTTATGGCTGTTAGTATTTGCCTTATGTATTGTTGGGTGAATAAA